ATTTCATTCTAAGAAGACTTCAGTACCCCTTGTATCTGTGGCTATGAAAGGGTCAACTGACAGAAAGAGAGGCTGGCTCAACTGTTTCAAAATCGCAGTATGACCTTTGGATGGCAATATTTAAATTCTCACATAGTTCTTCAGAGTTTAGACTAGGAGGGATTGTTTTGACTCATTCACTATCACCACTAGTTCTACTGCGTGTCTCAGAAGTGCCTGTCTTTTCTTTCCTTCTATTCCTGCACCCTGAGGTGCAGAGGATATCCATCAGTTTCTGCCATGTATTTTGGTCTTGCGCTGGTCTGTTCAGGCTTCTGAGTGTCATGCTGATGAATTTAGCTTCTTTCACTACTGTTCTATGTAATGTTTCTCTAGGTTACCTCTCTTGCCAGTTGGTATCCATGTTATCACTTAATGTGAAGTCAAACTGATGGCATCCTTAAAGCACGTCCTAAATATGTCCATCCTTTTGCCACGTTTGATGCTTTAAGTTGGTGTGTTCTGCTTAGAATTTCTGACACTGTTGTAAACTTTAATAGATTCTGAACATCTTCTGTGGGCATTTACTTTGGAATAAGTTTAACTTCTTATCAATTGCTGTTGCAGATTTCCATGTCTCTGCTCCATAGAGTAGGACAGATATGATACCAGTATTAAAACAAACTGTATTTTTGTATCGGTGCTGATCATGCTACTTTTCCAAATCTTTTCAAGTTTATGAAAGTTGTTTGCTGCATTTGATATTTGTTGCTCGGCATCTAGCATGGTGTCACTAGCACTGCACGTCTCGCTCCCCAGAGAAGTAAAATGACTGACTTCTGGTGTTTCTCGGTCTACTTTGATGGTGGTTTTTGAAACACTGATAGCCATATATTTTGCCTGTAGTCTGCCTTATTTACTAAATGAGCTATAGGAGTACACATATTTTTTTAAAAATTGCAAGTCATATTTCATTTTTAGTAAATCATATAATAGAGATTTCTCTCTCCAACCTAAGTCTCGTTGTCTTTCCTTGTAAAGATAGTTCAGTGAAGGTTTGGCCACTGACTCCCTTCACCTAAAAAGGGAAAACCACCTATTATTTGGTTTATCTGAAAATCTGACTAGTTGCCTAGATTTAGAAAGCAAATCAGCTGTCCACATTTGAGGTTCATAATCATAAAGAAATGCAATTTACCAGCAAGAGTCCTTTTTAAAAAAATAAACCATAGCAGTACATACAAAATATAACAATACTCTGGAACAGTAACAATATTGTAAAATCTTTATTTTGGATTTCTACCATACACACAAATGAAAAAGAATGAAATTAACAATACCAACACTCAGCTCAGTGCTAGAGAAATAATTGAACTGTAAGATTGCGCACTTAACTGAAATTGTCCATTTGTGACAATACTGTATGTACGCAGTAATATGCAACCAATCAATAAATCCTCAAGTGACAGGATGTGCAAAGCAGCTGTCTTTGTTTTCACCCCTCCTGTGTGTTGGTGCTCTCCACACACGAATGGTACACTGGAATATTCTGACCATCCCTGAGTTGCAAGGTGACATCCTGGAGACGCCAACTGATACAAACCAAAAGAGCATTTGACTTTAATTGACCAATTTCATACTGTGGTGATGTCAAGTATAAAAACACTAGGCAGCAAGAACGAAATCGTTTAGTGTAATTAAATGTGCTTTAAAAAGGTTTGCAGGTATAAACCTCTAAAAGTCTCTTTCCTTGATGGCTTAATGAACCAAGAAACTACATATCATGGTTCTGCAAGACAAATAAAATCCTGACCAGAGTGATGGCGTGTGGGGTTTTTTTGTTTTTTTTTTTTAAATAACTTCACCTGTCTTTTTCCTTTTACAGTCAGCCACTTCTGCCTATCAAGACTGCAACTAGGTAGTCCTTCGCTAATCTCTGGTATTGGATCTAGATCACATTGCTAAAGAATTATCCTGGTTAGGGAAGCTTTGACATCACATTGTTACTGAATGTGATTGTTGATACAAGTATAGAAGCCCAAGGAGGAGGCAAGTATGCAAAGAGAATAAAATGACTCATTTAGAGAGAGAGAGCCGTACGTCTGGGATACGCAAAGGTGCACCCTCTGCTCTTCAAAGTTCTGTTCCAAGCCCCCTTTCTGAGAGGACTATCAGTGTTAATCTGCCAGCCACGAAGAACTTTTTCCTCCTCCAAGTATTCATCCCTATGGGCGCTCCACTATAGGAAACGCACCCACCTGTGCGCTCTCGACGGGAGAATGCAAAGCCATATCCGTGGACCTGCACCGAGCAGAACCTCGTGCCTCCATTGGCCTAACTGTGCCCACTGAAATAGCAGGCTGGCCAGAATACAAGAATTCCACTTTCTGAAACCTCACACATTTTTCACAATGTTTCCATTATGATGCAGAACAGAACAAAAAGACCTGTCAAAATGTTGACGGGGGGGGACCCAGAATAGCCAGGAGGTTAGAGCACTCATCTGGGGTGAATCAGGAAGATCAGGGACTTGAACCTGGGTCTTCCACATCCATGCAAGTGCCCTAACCATTGTGCCACTGGTTATAGGGGACTGTTCACTCTCTCTGGCTTTGATCAGAAATTCGATCCTAGGGCTAAGAAACCTTTCTGATGAAAACTAGGATAACAATAAATTAGGTAAACAGATAACATTTCTGTAAACAGTTTTGGTTTCAATCCATTAGCATTTCCTGAAAAAACGTTCTGTCAAAGTTCCTGAGCAGCTCTAGTCAGCAGTAGCCATTAACTTAAGTGAGAGTAGTGTCAGGCCAATGCTGATCACTTTTGAAAATCCCACACATACCATAATACAATTAGGTTGCTGCATCTTTGTATGATGAATCTATAGTCTGGTCACTCCAGGTCAAATCTGCAAATACTCCTATTTTCAAAAGTGACTTTAGACACTTTGGGGCCTAAGTTTCTTCTTTAAAAGTGATTTAAGCTGTGAAGCATGTGTCATTTTTTTTTTAAAATACCACTTAGGAATCTAAGTCACTTTTGAAAATTTGACCTTCAGTGTCTTGTCATTGCTGTTTCTCTTTCTCGATTCTAGACTGTAAAGGCTTGTCTGCACATTATCAAGAACGATGTCAGGTAACTCAAATATAATATAGCTATTCCCAACGATGGCTTATGCTGTTGAATTTTATGGAGCAGATGAGACCTGTGTTTGAATCATTGTGATCTGGTTCAAGGACACATTCAGGTCTCATCTATTACAAAATGGAACTGTGTCACGAACCAACTACATTGTTACCATTTGCTTTGCACAAAGGGGCACAAACGTGGCCAAATACTTGTGTGATCAAGTTTTACTGGCATGAATGTTTCTGGGAAATATATTTTAAGTTTGCACATGGGTATGTTTGGGGAGTGAATTTTAAATTTATCTATCTTAGGACTTGTCAAGACGAACAGTTAGTGTATGGCAAACTGGATGTAAATGTCTGGTGCAGCAGCATGCCACACGCTGTCTGTGTGGACTCCGCTACTGAGCCCTAAAAGTTCCCTAGATCAAAGTGCAGAATGAGGGTCCACGTGGACAGTTAGTGTGCTGTAGATTTACACCCCAGCTTGCTGCGCACTAACTGTCTAGATAAGCCCTTAGGCACTTATATACAGTGGTGAGCTGGAGCCGGTTCGCTAGAACCGGTTGTTAAATTGAGAAGCCCTTTTAGAACTGGTTGTTCCGTGAGGAACAAGCGGTTCTAAAAGGGCTTCTCAATTTAACCGGCCAAAAGTGACACCTTAGGCATCGACTCCATGGGTGCTCCAGCCCTGGAGCACCCAAGGGGAAAATTTGGTGGGTGCAGAGCACCCACCGGCAGCTCCCCACCCCAGCTCGCCTCCGCCTCCTCCCCTGAACACACTGCCCCGCTCTGCTTCTCCGCCCCCCACAGCTTCCCGCGATACAGCAGTTTGCGCAGGAAGCCAGGGTGGGCTGAGAAGCAGGCGGCGGCTTCGCACTCAGGCCTAGGGATGTGGAGGTGAGCTGGGGCGGGGGGGACAGAAGGAGGGGCCCGCGCCACAGCAGGTAACCGGGGGGGGGAGTGCGGGGGAACCGCTCCCCGCCCTGCTCACCTCCGCCACCCTCGGCCTGAGTGTGAAGCTGCCGCTTGCTTCTCAGCCCCTCCCCCCCCCCGGCTTCCTGCCAAACAGCTGATTTGCGGGAAGCCGGGGGGAGGGGGGCGGGGAGAAGCAGAGCAGGGCGGCACGTTCAGGGGCGAAGACGATGCGGAGGTGAGCTGGGGCCGGGTGCGGGGCGGGGAGCTGCCAGTGGGTGCTCTGCACCCACCAAATTTTCCCTGTGGGTGCTCCAGCACTCGGGTGGCAGCTCTGGCTCTCAAACCCACTTGACCGTCTGGGTCCAAGCTCAGGTGGTGAGCCCGTGTCTCTGCAAGATCCGCAGTGCCCACAGGGCTGTTTTTAGCACATTCACTTGAGCTCCACTAGCACAAGTCTGTTTACCAGTGCTGGAAGGCTCACTCCCAGCTGCAGCATAGACATACCCATCACGCCATGGCATTGCTGTGGTCTGAGAAGAGTAGAAGATATCACAGGTCTGTGATAAAAACTAAGGACAACCAGTGTTCAACCCGGTGCCCAAATATCTTTGCATTTTCTCTGTGTGTGAAGGGGAAGAAGGGGGTAAATTAGACTCAGTGGGCCAATTATGCACTCCAGTATACTGGGTTACAGTTAACAGAGGACAGTTTTCAGCACAAAGGTCTCGATCTAATGTCCTCATACTTTTGTATTCTTTGGATAAGAAATGTAAAATTATTGAATAGATATTGTCACTTCCATAATGACTGCATGTGAACACAATATTTCATAAGCTCGTCAAAGGCAGATTTCTTCCTTATTTCCATAATCTCAGCCATTTTGATGACTATAAACCAAAAATCTGGCCCTGCTGCCCTGGATTCTCCTCCTACCCTGAACACTCCACAGAGTACCCTTTTATTCATACTTACCAGTTAAGGGAGAGGTCTCTTACTGAATTGGTACAGAGATATCCAGCTGATTTTGTTCCAGATACTGGTATCTTTAACTGCAGATATAAAAGTTAGTTGAACACTTTTTCAATGACTGATGTTAGTGAAATGAATATTTTATTCCTTTCTTAGTCAATAAGATAAAACTGAATCACTCCCAAAATTTTAACACAGACACGTCAGCTTTTCAGCACTTTTAAGAGTTTAAACTTTTTTAATGGGGTGTGAGTGTATTAATTTTGTCATACACAAATCGGTGTTAAAAGAATGTTCCTGTTATGACTGCAACCATATAAAGAAAGTCACTTACTCTGAAATATTTGAGCTAACACCCTTTCTTTGCAAAGCACTAGGAGATCCAGGGATGACAAGTATTACATAAGAGTTTATTATAAGAAATACAGGCACAAAGGCTGGGATATTGAAAGCTACACTCCATTAAATTAAAGGGAATTGGGTATTAAAACCCTGCAGCAGCTTTAAAAATTCTACCATTAAAATACTGTAACTTAATAAATTAGGCTACAGCTGCACTATTGCATTTCTGCTAAAACATTCAGCATGGCTGAAGAAAATAAATGTGCTCTGTCTATTCTTGATAGACCATCAAAAATGGCAACTCCAAGCCTTCTCAAGCAGGTCTAGCTGGCAGGAGTTGGGCATGCTCTGGAGGTGGTACAATAGCCCCTGGACCAAGCAAGACTCTCTCTGTCATGCTGTAGCAACCCACTCAGGCTGATGAAGGGTTGATTATTCACTGGTTTCATATCTCCGATGAAATAATGCTCATCATTATAGAGGGCACTGAGTGACATGGAGGATAAGAAAGCAGTTGGTTGGTCAGAGGAATGAAATGTGACTTCATCATTAGTCATTTAAATCTTTGTAACATTCTTAAAGATGACTTACAAAGGAAAAAATTAATTGGGGATTGCTGGATTCCCCTCTTCTGATCTATGTAAAGAAAGCTTGACGGTTTTTGTCTATGCTTTTTATATTGGAAATTCAGATCTTGCCTGGAAGACTCTAAGGGCAACTGGAGAACTAGGATATTCATAACATTACAGATATCATGCAAGTGGATCCTGATTTAATTGAAAGGGAAAGTGAATTTTATTCAGTCTGTTTAGAACTTGCTGCTTTTTATTTTCTTGGTTAACACCTTTAACTCAAATGCCCTACAGCCAGCTGGAAGAAGATATTTGTCAAAGATTCAACACCCTGTGCTCCTTTCATTAATGGCTTTGAAAACTCTCAGGATGCAGCTGAAACCTCTAGCAAAAGCAGAGTAGACCAGACTAAATACGCTTGACTTTTTTTTTTTTAGCCACTGGCTATCTACACCAGAGGTTCTCAACCACGGGTACATGAAGGTCCTCCAGGGGGTACATGAACTCATTTAGAGATTTGTCTAGTTTTACAACTGACTGCATAAAAAGCACTAGTGAGCACAAACTAAAATTTCATACAGACAATGACTTGCTTATACTGTTCTATATCCTACACACTGAAATGAAAGTACAATATTTATATTCCAGTTGACTTATTTTATAATTATATGGTAAAAATGAGAAAAGTAAGCAATTTTTCAGTAATTGTGTGCTGTGACACTTTTTTGTATTTTTATGTCTGATTTTGTAAGCAAGTAGTTTCCAAGTGAGGAGGAACTTGGAGGTAAGCAAGACAAATCAGACCCCTGAAAGGGGTACAATGGTTTGAAAAGATGGAGAGCCACTGATCTACCCTGATACAAAGCCCGAGGGCAGACACAGCATAAAAAGTGATCTTTATCAGTCTGGCTTCACTCTGCTTCAAACTAGTATAAGCTGTGATGGTGCTAGTCATACTTCACAGTTGTGCAACACATCCACACCAGGACTAACATTTTCAAAAGCACCCTCAGTGACTTATGTACATAAGCTACATTGAAAGTCAATTGGTCTTAGATGCCTAAGTGACGTAAGTACTTTTGAAAATTGTATCCTCTGGCTTTTTAGTGGCATAGCTACTCCAGTAGCTAAAAACCCGAAGGTAGGCAAGGCCTTATGTAAAAATAAAAAACAAGCAGAAAAAAAAATCCTTTTGGGTGGGGATGGCGAACCCTTTATACATCATAAAGAAGCATCAGTGGGTGCAAACACCATTTATTTTCCTGTAAGAAACTACTTAGCACAATATGAATGAGTAATTCTTGCTATTTCCTCCTCTACCATATTTCAAATCAAAAGACTTAGATGCCTTTGAAAGTCTCACCCTAAAAAGCACTCATCTACGGGGCCTGTGCACCTAATTCACTTAGTTGCCTTTGAAAAATCTCCCCCTCACTCTCCTCCCCACCATTACTATACACTTAAAATCCATCTTTCACAGCCTTGTTTCACTGGCAGGCAGGCTCCCTGCTCTTACCTGTGCTCTGGCCATGTCAACGCGATTACTCTTGTCTGTCAGTCTGATGTTGTGAACTTTAAGAGGGGGAGCCCCCAGTGCCTCCAAGGCTGCAGGGTCATTCTTAAGCTGCTCAATAGCCAGCTGATAATACTGTGTCCTGGCAAAATTTTCTAGATCAAAGAAACAGACAGTTGTGGAAATAAGTCACTATGGGGTTGAAAAAACAAATAAAAGGAGACCTAAGGGGGGAGTAAGATACTTTTTTTTTTTTAAACCAACTTCTGTTGGTGAAAGACATGCGCCTTTGAGCTATAACTTGAAGAGCTCTGTGTAGCTCGAAAGCTTGTCTTTCACCAACAGAAGTTGGTTTAATGAAAGCTATTACCTCACCCATCTTGTCTCTCCCAAACTGGACTAACAAGGCTACAACAACACTGCAAATAAAAGAAATGACACCACCCCCCCCCCGCACACACACACACACATTCTATAATAGTATACATATATATAAAATACACACACAGAAAACCCTCTAAAAAAGAATTCAACCCTATAAATAGTAATAACCAGCCATGAGATACCAGACATGATTCCTAAATCTAAGACTTTTACACTTGTGGATTGCCAAAAAGAGAATCCCAGGTCTGCACTACCCCCTTTCTCAGTGGTGACAGCAAACCATTCTAAATGTGGGGAAAACAACTATTGACTAAAAATTATCCCAACCCCTAAATCAGAAACATTGCAGCAGAAGGAAAGTGTTATTCTGTAGCAAATTTAGGTGAAACAGGCCCTGGATTTAAGACCTTTCAAATGTCCTGTACATATTAAGAGTGGCATTATGGGCAAGTTTCCATGCTTTTCTGACGCTTGCAGAGCAGTAGGAGGTGCACTCAACAACGTTCTGAATGGATTCTAAACTTTATAGGGAATTCTGGAAAACATGTAGAAACTGAGAGAACTTCTTACATTGCTCTAGGATGGCAGTAGCAGCTGCTGCTACAGAAACTTTGTTTTAGGATTAAGCGAGGTTTAAGCAAAAGTCCCGACAACTAAAACACAAGTGGAGGAAACATTAATTTTAAAAGGGTATAATAAAACATATACAGTTGTCACCATCAAAGTCAATGTGCTCCCAGCTACTACTTCACAGTATGTGAAGTATAACAGCAAGGAACTACAGAGAAATAGTGTGGCAGCTGAGGTGATAACTGGAAAATATTCTTTCCAGTGGTGACCAATGTATTAAAATAGAACTGTTGGGGGGAGGGGGGAACTAGTGGCCCTTCTAGTGCTAGAAAAATCTTTAAGCAAACTTTTCAAGCTGTGCGTGCTGAGAGCGGGATTTTCAGATGTTCTCAGCACTGGCCTAGCTTCACTCTCACTGACCTCAATGAGAAGAGGGTTAGGCTAACACGGAATACTTTTGAAAATCCTACCCTGAATATCTAGTTCCCACCTTGGATTTAAAACAGAGGACTCCAATCTTTTGTTTGTCCACCTCTTTATATTGCTCTGGGAGTGCAACGGGGTTGGAGGCTGTCCCCAGTTGACAAAGAAGACATAAATTAAAATATGTCTAGCCCAAGTTCTCCCATAGCCACTAATGAGGGCAGCAGCTGGCCATTTCCTGAGGGAGGACAGTCTCTTAGGGCCATGGATAGCAGTCAGCCAGGCTGCTTTCAAAACTTTGAGGCCATCCCCAGCATAGAAGCAGACTCTGAATCGGGAAGCTGCAGCCAGTCCCCCTTCACCCTGCTTCTCAGCTGTGCACAGTAGACAGTGGTATCTCATGAATATCTTGCCTGAAGTATTAACATAAAATGCCTAACTGTGTGTGAACTTGTATATCTATAGCATCAACCCAGAGCAGGGGTTTCTAAAGGGCACAACAGTTGGCTATAAAGATGACTGTTTATCTCCTCACAGAGAGCCTGAAATTGGAGCTCAGGGGTTTGTAGTTACAAGAAACTTCCTGATTATTGTGTGTCTGAAACTATTTCAGCATGACACCAAACTTAAATGGTGGGAGCAGTGGAGGCGGTTGGGTTGTTTTCTCCCTGGCACTGTCTTCGGGGCTCTGACAAAGCAAAGAGAATCTTTGTAGAAAAGGTCCAGAACAGGAACAGTTATACATAGCAGATATATAAGGAAGTGATGTAAACCACTGGGTACAGCAAAGAGAGAAGTCAGAGGATCCTAGAGTCCAATGCTACTTAGCTATTTAATGTACAACATGAAGGAAGTCCCAGAACTTCCTTGCACTTCAGTCATCTTGGCTGTACACATAAAGATGAGGAAGGGGAACCAGAACTTCATTGCATCCACATGATTGGTATTGGTGCTTAGTTCTCCTAGGTTAACAAGCCTTTACGGTTAGAGATATGAAACTGTATTAGCTTGTGAGTCAAAGTAGCAGCTTCTGTTTCTGTTTGATGCTAATGAAGAGGGTAACTCTCATTAAAGGCTGTACTTTAGTGATTAAAAGCCCAGTTGGCTTGTAATCAAAATATCAGAAACAGTATGTGGTTATCAATATCACACCAATGCAATGGTCCTTAAAAGGCTATGCATATTTCATTTGAACACTGCATCAGACAATGGTTTTAATGATGATCAATAGCCACATAAATTATTTGGATTGTTCAGCTAAATGATTTGGGAAACTAAGGAGGAGTTTTCACTCACTCTGCTAATGAAAGTAAATCTATTTCAAGAGATGTTAAGAGAAAATGCTAATATCCCTATTAAATCCAGCCTCTCTATTTTAAAACATGTCAGCCTCTCTATTTTAAAACATGTCAGACTTCTCAATCTGCCTGAGTTGCAATTCAGAACTCAAGTGCATGAATTGTCTGAAATAGAAGACGGCTTTCCAACGTTGTCCAATTTGTTGTTAAAATATGTCAAATGAAGGGAAGGTTTCACAACTACTGAGGGCTTCATAAAGGGGTTTGGCCACTTTATGCAAGGCCACTTGATGCAAGGCTAGGCAAAAAGCAATATAAATGGATAGTAACTACAGTAGAACCTCAGAGTTATGAACCCCAGAGTTATGAATGGACCAGGCAACGAAGCATGTCATTTGGAACCAATCAGGCAGCAGCAGAGACCAAAAAAGGCAAACACAGTATAGTATTGTGTTAAACGTAAACAACGACAAAAAAAGTTTAAAAAAAAAAAATCTCACAAGGTAAGGAAACTGTTTCTGTGCTTGTTTCATTTAAATTAAGATTAAAAGCAGCATTTTTCTTCTGCACAGTAAAGTTTCAAAGCTGTATTAAGTCAGTGTTCAGTTGTAAACTTTTGAAAGAGCAACCATAATCTTTTGTTCAGAGTTACAAACATTTCAGAGTTACAAACAACGTCCATTCCTGAGGTGTTCAGAACTCTGAGGTTCTACTGTACAAGGGAAAAGCATGAGACCCAGAGGACTAGAGCGGTCAAATAAGTGGAAACCAAGCCTGTTGCTTCTGGACTACTAAATGTCTGGAAGTCAAGTTTAGTAAAAAAGAAAATCCAATTGCTTGAACTAATAACGTTAATAATTCTCAGCCAATTAAATGTAGCAAGTAGATCTGTCTGTCACCTAATTGACAGCATCATCTCTAGGCTTCCTTCTAAGGCTCCAATCCTGCAACATGCTGAGCACTCTTAACTGCTGTTGACTGTCTTCAACAGATGTTGATGCTCAGGACCTCACAAGATCCATTTTGAGGGAACGGCACCATAAACTGGATGTATTACAATTCTAACAGGTTCACATTTCCCTATTTAAGTGGTGGTCTCCTGCCCTTTCCCCCACATTTCCCAACAATGACCATTTTTAAAATCTAATTAAGAATAGAAACCTTCATCTGTTTTTAAATAAATCCTTCTGAGACTAAAGTGACCATGCTTCAGAGAGAACTAGTATTGGAATTAAAGCCAAGGCTACAAAATGAGGGACATTGCACTGGCAGGTGTGATTAATAAAATCTTTTAAGCTCTGCTGTTCTTCCCTCCCATCCATGTTTATCAGAATCTGAACTATTCTTATTTGTCAACTGTACAAAGGGGAATGATGTGGAGAGGGCAGAAATAAGGTTGCTAATAGCAACAGGACTTACTTTGCATAAGATAATACATCACAGCACATCCCCCACCACTTAACAGCCCCAGATAAATAGCCATTTGCTGTAGTTTTCTTAAAGAGGCTGGCATTTTTCCCCCTAGAAAGAGAAAAAAAAGAGAGAGAGACACATTTATTGTATGAGGAAAACTAAGAGATTGGTTTGGGTTTTTTTGCCAAAGTTCTTTCAATATCCCAGCAAAATAAGCCTGAATGAAATCACCGCATGTAGCAATCAAGCGCTCTCTGGGGCCCCACCGTGCATCCAGAGGAAATCTGTGATGAGAACGGAGCAAACTGGGCACCTAAGCAGGACAGAATATGTTTATTCACTTCCTTTTGCGATGCCACCACTTCACTAATTGCCAAGAAAAAAATGACCTCCCTGGTGTGGCTGATGGCCAGAAACAGAGCATATTGTTCTCGCGACTTACCATACATACTCAGTAACACAGTGCAAGTATTCAGGTTTGAGGGGCCAGATTTATCCCTAGTGTAACTCCACTAAAGTAAATATGCTTGCACCGGAGTCCGTTTGGCCAGAAGTCTTAAGCTACAGAGCCAAGCTACAGCACTGCCAGTAAATATAATGTTGCTGAGGTTTGAGTTTGTTGGGGTTTTCTTTTTTAAGCCACTGGTAAACAGGAAGATTCTTGCAATCCTATTCTTCTCTAATCCTTTTCCTTTTACCATCCTGCCCAATTGATGAGTCATGGTTGTTGTATCTGTCTGAATGACACAGCAGACTAACAACTACCTCCTAAAGAATCAACCTAGTAGTTCTCTGGCTTGGTTACCGAAGAGTATTGCTAAACCATATGGCCAGGAGAACCCTATCTAACGCTTTTCCCCAAGTCATTCCTTCAGCGCAGGATGGGCCATAAACAAGCATCTGAATAGCTGTTTCCTAAAGTGTTTCCATCACAAAAACGTGATAATGGACTGTTGGGGAGGGAACGGTCTGATAATAATTTCAAATGTCAAGCAGTCTTGTTGACTGAAGTGTGTAAATTTCTGGAGTTAATGTGGATGTTACTACTGGATGCTATGATAGGTTATAAAATTAGTGGTCTTAAAGGTTTCAAGCCCAAACCTTTGCCCTGCTGAAACTCTGCAAATGGACTGCTTGGCTAAAGCTGTTTAGTGAAGCATAGCACAAAGCCAATTACAGAAATATGATTGAGACAAAGCCGCTTAATACATCTTATGAAAATTGTCCGCATATCTCCCAAGAATGCATTAGTCAGACCTTGCTTCACCTGAGGAACCACAGTTTCAGAGCGTGGAGTGACAAACAAAGGAACTCTTTTCCATACTGCTACGAGCTAGTGTGTGACATCAGCATGATGTCTGGTATGTTCCATGTCCTGCCTCAGAGATTGATTATTTGCCTGAATTTCCTATCCTATCCCCTCAAATTTTCTAGCTGAGGGAAAGGAGGAATTTAATAATTAACCCAGATATCACTTTTGTCTATTGCCTAATGTGCATAAACAACTTGTAACTGGTTATTGTTACATTGTACCATAGCATTTTAAAGTCATCTTTGCCAATTAGATCACTATGTTGAAAAGTAATTTCTTACATGGAAGAACTGTCCTGAAATCAGAATATTACATAATACTTTTGTAGCCACAGCACTCTACAAGTCCTCCTATAATATAAATCTTCAGAAGAGCCCTCTTAAGTAGGCAAGTATGCTCACCATTTTACAGATGATGCAACTGAGGCAGAAACTTCATGTAACTTGAAGTCCCCATGAGAAACCAGTTTCAGAGCTGAGAACAGGCCCCAGGTCTGCACTCAGAACATTAGAGCATACCAGCAATCCCAGCCTCTCCATCCTCCATCCCTGCCTATCCCACCTTTCCCATGCAGGCTGTTGCTGACTCGTTCGAAGAGACAATGGATTTTTTGTTGGTTTTGACTCCCCTCTCTAACTCTTGTCCCCTTCATTGCCCCCCTTCATTGCCTGTCATTGCCCCCCTTCTCTAGCTCCTCTGCCTGCACAAGTGAGCCCCTATCTCCTCTTCTTCCTGACCTATATTTCCCCTAGTCTTGCTCACTTTTTCCCTCAACCTCTCATGCTACTCAAGTACCTCACAGAGAATGGAGATAATAAAATTCTTCTTGTTGAGAAGTGGTAATAGAGGATTCACAAGGGTGTACTCTTCTGAAAGGAAAAGCAGAACTTCTCCCAAATATATTTCTTAATGCAATTTTCTGCAAGAAATACCTCATGGTGTATGTTTGTGTAACTCACATTTCTTATTATGGCCGACTTGGTGTGCTACCCAGTTCTTTGTTCTTTCTTGTTCCCATCAGCCTATTAGGATGTTTGCTCAACCAGACATACAATAAACTGGCCAATGCTACCACTATTTTAGCAAAAAAAAAAAAATCTGTCTTTGATCTGGAAAGCTGATCATTGTGTAACATACTGTGACCTGAGGCATTTGTTATGTTCCTTTCAAAACCGTGGCCTAGAACTGCCATGCATAATTTTCTTCTTGCAGTGAAATTCAAGGTAATAGTATACAAATGTCTGTGCCTAGTGGGCACTGTTGATAGCTTGCTGAGGAAAATAGAAAGACACTGAAATCTAGCACCAGTAAGCATCATAGGTAATTCATATCAGTCTTGCATAAACTGTAGTCAAAGGATCTGCTACTTGCAACCAAAATGTCTGTGGTTCATTAGGCATCACGGTCCGATCAATTCTCAAACAAGTGTTATGGAGAGAGAGAGAGCGAGAGGCATCCATGTCAATTAATGGGATACTTATTTTATAATATCTGCTATAATATTCACCGTTCTTTACACCCAGTGGATCTGGTTATACATCTCTGCTAGGTCGCAGTCTACACAAACACTAACATTTCCCTTTTGTGAACTTCGAGGAAGCAAGAGGCTCAGCTGCTTAAATATCACTAATGATTTAAAAGATGAGATTCACAAATACCACTTGGCAAGAGTGAATTATGAACTCAATAGTTACTGCAGCCCTCAATCACAACATCTATCTGAGGAACTTATATTCTCCCCCTCCCCCATCAGCAGAGTGTCTGAACACTTCACGATCTTTAACGGATCTATCCTCACACCACCCCTCTAATGGCAGAGCGGAGTTTCTCAAATCCTAGCCTAGCACCCTAACCCATCCTCCCACACACATCTTGTCTGTTGTGATGATATATCCCTGGGACAGTAAGTTACAGTAGGAGATTCAAAAGGCCAAAGCTAGCTAGTTCTTTTTACTTCTGGGGGAATTCTGCACCACTGCACGGGCGCAGAATTCTTTGCTTCCCTGCAGAAAAATGACTTCTGAGGGGAAGGAAAGGGAAGCCGCAAAAGTAGTTAGCTGCCCCTCCCCAGCAGCCTGGAGCAGCTGGCAGAGATGTAAATCAGCATGGAGGGGGTAGGGGGTTCACATGTGGGGAGATGACAATCACTGCCAGGGAGTGGGACTGAGCGGGCATGTGTCAGAGAGTGAATGAAAGAGACCCTGGCTCGCTATTGCAGCACACCCAGCGTGGAGGGGCAGGGCTTTGAGGTGTTTGGAGGTAGGAGGAGGCAGGCTCTGTCCCCTCAGGCAGAGCATAATGTAGCAGCCTGTCTGCTTAGTCGTTCCCATTCCTAGTGAATTCCCCCAGGAGCATAAAACACATTGTAAATGTTTTAAGGCTTCTTTACATTGCCAGAGTGGTGTAAAGGTTCATAATTGTAAATGACAGTATGGCTTTATAAACTGTGAGTTTGATACCCCAGCCCTCACTAGCTTTTCAGTTGCCTATGATGTAATACTGAGCTAATGGCTGCATATATTTGTTGACTAATAACTAGAAATAAAGGATCAGACCTAGCTCCATTACTGTTAGACAAAGTGGATTTGGATATTTCCTCCAATGCTACCCTCTCCCATTCTCCATCCATTGTACTGCAGTTTAAATAAATTACCAAAATAATTAAAATTAGCGTGATTATATTTATATTATTTTGACAAATAAAATATGCAGAATTTTGCAATAATGTGTGCAGAATTTTTAATTTTTTTTGGCCCAGAATTCTCCCAGGAGAATCTTTTTAAGCATATTTTAACAAGTCTCCAAAAAGCTGAAAAGAGAATTCTGATCTCTCACTTCCTCAGGCAGCACCACAATTCAGTCAGCTACCATCTACACTGTAAGTGTACTAGACCATAAGTTTCTTGTCGTGTTGTCAGCTGATGGATGGTGCGATCAAGGCATGCACATGCAACAGGGGCTTTTGGAGAGAACTTTTCAATAGCAATTCAGGAACTTGTTTGTTGGGAAAACTACATCCTGCTGTGCCCGTTCTGTGGTAAGGGTGTAAATTTCCATGAAATTTTATTATTTCACTCACCAGGGGTTAATTTCCTTTCCCTAATCAGGATGACTACCTGTGAACTTTCGGGCTAAAAGATCCCATGAGAACATTTTACACCCTTAACCAAGCAACAACTGGTGATGTTTTAAGTGTGGTCTATAAAATACAAGTGAGAAATAGGATTTTGGGTTCCTGAATGTGTATTAAGATATGAATATTAACAAAGACCAGTCATCAGGATTGTCATGCTAGTTCTGCTAGCTACCTGGTTTTTTGCTAAGATTAATGAGGGGTGTGGAGGGAATCGTGCTTTGTGGAAAGTAGCAAACAACTTGGGAACCCTGTGGTCTGTAAAGGTATCTCGGAAAGAGAGAGAATGTACATGTCATTTACAGCACAGGGAGTAACAGTACCAAGGCGGAAACAATGAGTTTCTGAGAATCTAAGCCGGCCCTATAAGCACAGCAACCTGAAGTTAGGATATTTGTGGGGGGGGGGGTGGAGGGTGAGAAAACCTGGATTTGTGCTGGAAATGGCCCAACCTGATGATCGCTTTAGATAAGCTATTACCAGCAGGACAGTGGGGTGGGAGGAGGTATTGGTTCATATTCTCTGTGTGTATATAAAGTCTGCTGCAGTTTCCACGGTATGCATCCGATGAAGTGAGCTGTAGCTCCCGAAAGCTCATGCTCAAATAAATTGGTTAGTCTCTAAGGTGCCACAAGTACTCCTTTTCTTTTTGCGATATTGGCAATGAATATTTCTACTTCACTGTTACCGGCCATTTTCTATAAAGATGTCTTCACAGCTAGGGTAGGAATCTGTTAGACCACTAAAGGGCATGTGAGTCAGCTTGTGAAAAACAAATGCAGATTTCTTCACAATTGCTATTGAAAAGCACAAGTTCCAAGAAGACTGACACAAAAGGAGGAAGTGACCTACTTTGCAGGAAGAGTCTTTAATTTTAATATCAAGAGGAAAGCTAGGTTGAGATTCATGCACATGAAAGAATACTGAATAGGCAGTATCAAAAGAATGGATGTATGGCTCTCACCAGAGAACCAGTCTGAAAGCACAGCCTTCTAATTGCTGGGCAACTTTATTTCACACAATCAAAATGTAATGTAAAGATCCAGGCCCAAGAGATGGTGGTGGTTAGGGTTCAGTTTGAAGCTGAGACCAACTCAGGTTTGGAGTTCTATAGCACTGAAATATAATAAGCCCAGAGTGGTGACAATTGCACAAGTTCATTTCAGCTCTCTCAAATGGTGGAATTCTCTCAAAAGCAGCTGTTCCCATGAGACTTTGGCTTGTTTTGAATCTGAGCTGGAGGACCTTTAGAGAGAAAGATGGTTGGCTTCAGGGAGGCCCTGACACTTGAGGAGGTTTAGATTTTAGACTCTGATATATGCACCTCTCTGATTATTTATTTAAGACCTTTATCTTTCTATCCTCATTGAGGTTGGCCAAACATTCCTCCTCCTCCACAGGTGCGGTAGAGAGTAGCATTGAAACAAAGGGCACTTTCACCAGGGGGTGTGTGTATATAACATCTTATTTGTACATGTCTCAAATTACAATCACTGAAGTGACAAAACTCAGAATCTTAATTCTTTGGGGACAGGGGCTATCTTTTTGCAGTTTATACAGTTACTAGCACAGTAGAGCTCTGATCCATGACTGGGGTTCCAGGAACTAGTGCAATACAAATATAATAATGGAAGCAATCACACTGAAGACTGAGGGAGCTGCACAAAACCTAATGTAATCATTGCATTAATTCTCCGACCTGCTCACTGGCCCCATACTTGTGTGGAACACAAGCATACATAGGTGTGCCATAAATCCAGTCAGCCAGAAGGTTTTATACTTGGAAACAGTGCTGTTTTAAATGAGCAGAGTGGCACCTGCACTTTCTCTGTGGCCAAATGTTGAGATCTGAGGCATTTGGTGTCGGAAATCAGGTGACTTATTTAGGTGCTCAAGTATGCTCTGAGTGCCTACATTCAGGAAGCTGACACTATGTCCTACTCATTTTTTTGAAAATCCCTCTGCCTCTTCAATTCAGCAACTCTGAATTAGAACTTGATCAGGTTACAGAGTCAACTTTTGGGAAAACAAGTCACTTAGGTATGGAGGACACACAAGATCAGGGAGATGGCCAGGAAACCCCACATACTATACATCTCCTCATGTATTTCACTCTTACCAGCTAGTGACCAATTCAGCTTACCCAAAAGAATGAGATGGAAATAACTGTCCATGACTCTTGTAAGACGAAACAGTGAGTTGTTTGGTATGTACAAGGCAGCTGGGTCTGATCCGGTTTCTCTCCCAATAACATATCTGGAGACACCGGGCTTCAGAGATGGCTTGTTGGTAATGCCCACAAAATACTTTCTTCCACAGTGTTGTCACTAAACGGGGGAAGTATAAGTAGATGCAATAGGTCTGCTTCAACAGTAATATTTTAATTCACTGTTTTTCCACATATCTTCACTGACATTGTGCTAGTGCATTTTGAAATGCAAATGCAGACTTTGCACAAGTTACTTATCTTGAGCAAAAGCTCAGTCACTTAAGTTTACAGACTATCAACATGAAGAGTAACAAGGGGTGGGTTTTTTTTAATTCTTCCCCATCCCGTTTCGGGAGGAGTACTTTTGACATTTACAGAAGTAGATATGCTGACTTGACTTTGAAATATTCTTACCAGGGGTCCACAGACTCTTCTCTAGAAGCTGAAAATGCTTCCAAGGGTTAGCTCTCCATATAACAGGGAGATAACTAGACCCCAATCGGTGAAAGGATTGTGTGCTCTTTCTGGTGAATTTTAGCCTATTTTCTGCCTTCTATCTCTAGTTAATTAACTATAATATCTAGGGTAGCCAACATAATTATTAAGAATTCATAATAGCCACCCATCCCTCTATCAACTCTTGCAGATATAGCACACCTAGGGAAATGCACTAAAATATAGGAGCATGAATGCATCATTAAATAAGCTAAAGATGGGTTTCTTTTCCATTTCCCCTCCAACTTTTTTAGCTTTCTTCCTCTTCCCTCCCTCAACCTCTTCTCCTTTATGTGCACTTTCATATTCTCTCTCATCTTCATTTATTTTTATTCATTGTCTTTCATAACCTCCTTCCTCACCTCCCCCACCATTACCTGCTGTTCCCTCTCTTTTATTTATATATATATATATGTGTGTGTGTGTGTCTGTATGTATGTATGTATGTTATGCTGTCTCCTTTCCTTTTCTTTCCCTCAGCTTTCTGTATTCACACCATCCCCCATGTATTCACTCCTTCCCTAGACTACTCTTCTATTCTTCCTCATTGGCTTTCTCCCATTTCTCAGACTTTTTCTTTCTTCCAGTGCTACCTATCCCCCTTTCCATTCACTGCTATGCCTTCCCCCCTCCTTAGTCTTGCCAGGCCCCAGGTTACCCTTCTGTAAAATGGATTTTGTCTACCTCAGTGGGGACAAGGGAACCAAGGGACCAAATCCTTCTGGTTTTTCTCCCAAATCCCACTGATGCACAAAGGTTCCATCTCTAAATTTGCAAAGTGCTTTCAGATCCTAAGATGAAAGGCTTATGTACAGATTAGAGCAGGAGAGGAGGGGGGTCCACCGTCGACATTTCTGAAGATAAATACATCTACCACTTACCCATATTGAAACACTATGGATATACTGTAAAGACCTGAAAATAGGATGTGTTACAGGAGAAGCAGGATAATTATAGCTGTAGTGTGACCCATATTTGCTGTTATTAGAGAATGGCATTATAGGTTAATACCTACTAATCTGTCATTAGCAGTCCTAACTGTGTGCCTCTGTTTAAAAAAAAAATAAAGAACATTAGCTTCTTGTGTTTAAAGGTGAATTACAAAAGATTTAAAGAGTAAGATTTCAGAACAGGAAGAAAGTACCTGTTGTCGTCAGATTTTAAAATGTAACTGGTATGTGTACTTGAACAATATTTGAGATGTTTACCTGAGAAGTCTAAGGTGCAGACTTCCTGGTTTCTCTGCAAGCACGTGTGACATCACAAGAACCATACCCAAAGCTTTGAAAGAATCACTCTGTTCTAAACACTTAATTCCCTAAATGCCCATGAAAACTGAACAGATACCAACTTGCCAGGCACGTCTATCACAGAACCAGTGAAACATTCCTGCCACGTATTGGCTCTAACAAGAGCCAGTGTCAAAGCACAGCTCTCAAATTACCATAGGAAACTTACTTAGGAAAATGGTGATTATGTTACTTTAGCAACTATCTTGTGCTGTAGATATGAGAGGAAAAATACTGCTTAACAGGAGCTTGAGAGAGATGGTCTGTCAAGCAAGGGACACTTTCATAATGTGCAAAAAGAAAAGGAGTACTTGTGGCACCTTAGAGACTAACCAATTTATTTGAGCATGAGCTTTCGTGAGCTACAGCTCACTTCATTGGATGCATACCGTGGAAACTGCAGCAGACTTTATATATACACAGAGAATATGAAATAATACCTCCTCCCACCCCACTGTCCTGCTGGTAATAGCTTATCTAAAGTGATCATCAGGTGGGCCATTTCCAGCACAAATCCAGGTTTTCTCACCCTCCACCCCCACACACAAATTCACTCTCCTGCTGGAAATGGCCCACCTGATGATCACTTTAGATAAGCTACTACCAGCAGGACAGTGGGGTGGGAGGAGGTATTATTTCATATTCTCTGTGTATATATAAAGTCTGCTGCAGTTTCCACGGTATGCATCCGATGAAGTGAGCTGTAGCTCACGAAAGCTCATGCTCAAATAAATTGGTTAGTCTCTAAGGTGCCACAAGTCCTCCTTTTCTTTTTGCGTATACAGACTAACACGGCTGTTACTCTGAAACCTTTCATAATGTGATGTATGCATACATCTTATTTGTCCACAGCTCCCTAGAATATGATCACTGAATCTGCAAGACGAGTGATAATTTAAGAGTTCGTAAACCAGTTGAGTGAGAAATCAAAGAAGCTGCAGTGCTTTGAATGCAGTAATAGCTATTTAGTGCTCGGATCTGCTCACTGACTAGCCATCTGTGTCCAATACATGATGTGCTACATATACTGATCCAAAATTAAAGGCATTGAGATGCATATATTTTTAATTCAGCAAATACAATCCCAATATGGAAAAATATATAAACAGAAAAGATTTATAAATTACTGTAAAATGATAAAATTTACAATAAAGAGCAAGAAAAACTGAAGAAATTAAAAATTACATATTTCTTTTGGAGAAGTGCCAAGAAGCACCAACAAAAGATCCTGACTAAAGCTGGTCAGGAACTGTCCAAAGAAACAGCTTTTTCATGGAAGATATGGATTCATCCCAATCAATACGTTTGATGGAAATGTATCTATTTAGAAAAAGTTCCTATGAAACACTGGCCAGGGGTCCAACAGAACCCTGCCTAGTTTGCTGCTGGAGACCCCAGGGTTTCCAGGGTCCCTGCTATGGAATCAGGACCCTGGAAGCCCAGATTCAATACTAGCAACATCTATTACAGAAAAAATAGGATTTAGCAAAAATAGAGCTTAAATATATTGCAATTTAAAAATAAGTCTGAAACATCAGCAACATGACATGGTTAACAGGGAATGTGACCTAGAAACACACTACTCTAAGCAGAGAGGCAGCTACTCTATCATATATTTAGAAAATTCCTCTACAACCTCAGGTACTTCGTTCAGACAGACTGAAGTTGGGAAGTTCATAGACTGAGCTTGAGAGATCAGATGTGAAGGTCAAAGAGGAGCAGGAAAGTGGCAAGGAAACTACCCCACACACATCTGGCCATTTTTCACATGCTCAACATCTGTTGTCAGTACCTTGACTTAATCTAAAGAATGATATAACTTCATTCATGGACCATGTAAGGAAAAGGGTGTGTTGGTCGCCAAAAGGCAGCTGGTTCTGAGTCAGCTTCTCTCCATAAAAGGAAGCATTTCAGAAATGTATTGTTACATTATTTTTATGGCCTCTTCATTTATTCATTGAATCTTAGATACTTGTGTGGCCTCAAATGCCATAGTATCTAAGCAACTCATAATCTTCAATGTCCTCACTACACCCCTATGAGTTAACTCCCCATTTGCAGATGGGGAATTGAGACAGAGAGCGACTAAGGGTACACCTATGTGGCTAGTGGCGGTGAGCCTCCGCCCACATTGACAAACCCAAATTTGTGGAGCGTCTAGCAATAGCTACGTAGACAACATATTTAAGTTGCATCTTGGGCTACAGCTCAGGCTCTGAAGCTTTCTTCCCCCGCCCCTCCACCCCCCCAGCTATTTTTAGCACCGTAGTGCAAGCCCAATTTTGTTGTCCCAGGCTCGGAGGCTAACGCAGCTGGGGGCTGTGGAACGTACCCTCAGTGACTTGCTCAAAGTCACACAGGAAGTCTATGGCAGGGGCAAGAAATTGAATCTGGGTCTCCTGGGCTAGTGATTAGGACAGTCACACTGGTCTCCTCCTTCCTCTCCCGCAATGACGCTTACCACCCTGCGAAAGAGGCCCCTTGCCGAACAAAGACAGAGTTCACTTTTTACAGTGAAGTTACATTAGGCAGATGGAACCTCGGCTCCTTGATGGAACTATTACAATTTTACCCCAGTTTAGGATCTGACCCCCAATCTAAAGTATTACAGTCCTGTTTCGGGGTCTGCAAACAGCATGGCACATTCTTAAATATTGTAAGTGGGTAAGATTTTCAAAAGTGGCAAGTCAGTTGTGGGGCCCCAGTTTGTGGGTGCTCAACCTAAGAGATCTTAAAGGGGCTTGATTTTCAGAAAGCACTGAACAGTTTGAAACTAGGCCCTTGACACTCTCTCAAGTCAGGCACCCAAATGTAGTTGCATTTGAATAGGCTAGCCAATGGCATTTATTATTCCCCTTATATCAATGCTATAAAACTTCCAAGCATTTGTTTCTTGGGTTTTAAATGTTTATTCATCATAAATTCCAGTATTTACAAATAAGTTTGTCCATAAGGTGTGTTTATACTCTATTCCAAAAGAACGTTTAAGTTAGCTGGAAATCATTCCTTTAATTACAGTGGAAGAGACTCATCCCCACAGACATCCCAAATTGAAGACTGTACAGGAAACACTTTTGTTTTCCACCATAAAGAGATAAATATTTCCATATGTATGTTTTCTTATTTTTCCTGGTCTCCTGTTCAATCCCATACTGCCATCTCCACATTTCTGCAGGTGCAGAGAGCTGAGATGGTGATACAATCACTATAGAAGAATGTTGTTTTAAAATCTCAAATTAGATATGAAAGCATTTGATACAAAAAAAGAAGTGTCTGTGTCCCATTAAGTATTACATCTATTTATGCCTTAGGTAATTCATATGGAGGAAGTGAA